GGCAGTGCCCTGCAAACTGTGCCCACTTGGGATGGGCTCCTGACACACCTGTGTCCGGCCACCTAGGGTTCAGGCCTGGTTACTGCTCTCCCGTTGTCATCTTAAAACTCTTGCACATTAACAAGAGATTGTTGCTGCTATTGCTGTCAAGATGGGGGCCCGGTGGCTCAATGGTTGTGCGTTGGGCTGCTGACCGCATGGTCAGCAGTTCAAAGCCACCAGCTTCTCCCTGGGAGAAAGACCAGGTTTTCTATTGCCGTGAAGAGTGAGGGTCACCCTCTTGGGCCTGCTGCCTTCGGTGCCCCTGCCCGGCCCCTGTGCCACTTCTTCTTTTCCACTCAGTCCAGCGGCCCCCACCCCACACCTCTCTCTTCTCTGCAAAGCACAAATACCTGATGCCACCGTTTCCCACCCAATCCTCAATTCCCCATTTGGAGGACGCAGTAGACAGATGCATGAGAAATTGCATTATCAGGCACATTCGGGAAGACACCCCCTCCTGCAAGCCCCCTCCACCCCCCACTTGGCTCCTTCCGCTCTGTACGTTGCCTGCCTTCTCTAAACAGGAGAGACCGACAGCCAGCACTGGAAACTGCTTCTAATCACAGGTGACAGCAGGAAGGTAAACAACACAAAGAACATCTAAATGCAAGGAAACACTGCTCCCTCTCTGCTTCCCTCCCAGGGACACCCAGGCAGGGCTTCCTGATCCCCACCCCCAAGCTCCACTCATCCTCCTCCTGGGACTGGGAACCCCCGAAACCCATGAGTTTCTGGGGCACCTCGGACTCTACTCTCTCTGGAGGGTTTCGACATGCACCCCATCTTCCTCAAGTCTACTGATTCTTTGAGGGGACGTGACTGAAAGTGAAGGTTCCCGTGCCCAAGAAGAGTACAGACTGAAACACCCCACACTTCCTCTCAAGGAGTCCACAGAACCCCGACAAGTTCCAGTTTAAAAACAGGGATGGACGAATATGGATGGGCACAGAAGGAAATGCAAAGGACGGCACATGGCCTTCCCACCCCCCACCCCCCGCCAACAGCAAGGAGTCACCAAGGCACCTCCAAATCTCTGCCCACCAGTTACATGCTCGGGCTAACTGACAGGCTGCTGGTACAAACCCCCTGGTGCCCCTGGACACAGACCCAGCGAGCTACTTCTGCTAAACAAAAAGCCAAACTAGCGGCCCTGCAGGCAATTCCAACTCACAGTCACCCTACAAGACAGAAGACCACTGGCCGGTGCCTTTCCAAAGCTGTACGTGGGGGCACCCCAAAAAACCGGAAATGTGCTGACCGGAGCAGAGCTTTCTTAGTACATGTTTTCCCCCCTTTGGTGAACATCGAGCCACTCACTCTGAGTTAGTGCACCCAGTGGCATCACCTGGGAAGGCTCTCTCTGGTCACAGTCGTAAAAGCAGTTCTGCTCAAACCTCGTTTTTTTGTGATGGCCGATTTAGGAGAACAGCGTGCGGCTCTGAAATGTTGTTTCCTGATTGGGAAAATTGCCACAGAAACTGGTGTGATGTTGAACACAGCTTACAAGGACAGAGCTATGGGGAAAACGCAAGTGTCCGAGTGGTTTTCTCGTTTCCAAAAGAGGTGAAATGCCGAGTGAAGACAAACCTCGACGAGGGGCCATTGAAGAGACGGGGAGTTATCTGGACTATCTAGGAGCTTGGCTCAGCGAATTTTATGGAAAGATTTGGGAATGAGAAGGACCACTGTGAACTTTGTGCCTCGGGTTCTGACTGACCAGGAAAAGGCGTATCTGCTGGAGACAGGCCGTGCTTTGAAAGAACAGGTCCAAAGGGCCCAGACTTTTTTCCCAAGGTCATTACTGGTGCCAAGACATGGTGCTGTTCTTACGACCCCATAAGCAAACATCAATCAAGCCAGTGGAAGACGGCATCATCACCTTGCCAAAAAAAAACCCCAACAAGTGAGATCAAAGTTCAAGATCAAGAATCAAAGATCAAGCTCATTTGTTTTTTGATGTGAGGGGGATAGCGCATTTGGAGCTTATTCCATCGGGTCAGACTGTTAATCAAGCTTTCTATTTAGAGGTTCTGAAGAAAAATGTGTAACAAGTATGAAGCAAAAAGGCATGGCTTGTGGCAGAAGGGACCCGCTTTTGCCCCCATGACACTGCACCTGCTCACGCAGCCGTCTCAGTGAGCCCATTTTTGACAACAAACCAGCATGCCTCTCTCGCCCCACACACCTTACTTACCTGACCTCGCTCTGTGTGACTTATTTTTGTTTGCGCAAATGAAAAGGGACATGAAAGGACAGCGATTTGGCAATGTAGAAGAGGCGAAGAAAAAAACGGGGGAGGTGCTGTCAGCTGTCCAATCAGATGCGTTTAGAAGATGTTTCCAAGAATGGAATCACAGATTGGACGAATGTATCAAGTGCCATGGAGAAAACTTTGGAGGTGAAAGGTTGTTTTGTTAAAAAAAAAAATTAATTAAGTGCATAGCTTTTTGGGGGGGAAATCTGTTTTTTGGGGGGTACCCCCTTGTATAATCATGATGAAAGCACATTGCCACATCTTTCTCCTTGGACTAGCTGGGGTTCATGTCACCACCCTGTTGGCTAGTGTGGTGGCTGTTGTGAGGGACCAGCGACTCGGTTACAATGCCTGGCGACCCCTCGCGACAAAGCCTGGCACTGCCCATTGTTGCAGCCGCCGTGGCCATCCATGTCCTTGAGGGCCTTTGTCCCCCTCGCTGCCCCTCCACTTGACCAAACAAGAGTGCTTGACTGCTGTGCCAGCCAGGGACAGTGTACGGGGCAGGGATGCACTGTCACACACCCGGGTCTCCACACGAGCGGGCACCCTGCAGCGGCAGCCATCTCCGTGCACTGTGCACAAACCTACAACAAGGCTCCCCTTGAGTTGTTCATTCTTCAAATGGACAGCATGCTTCTAAAGCCACCTCCTTCCAGGCCAATGGAGAACGCCGCCGAGTAACTGCTATGCATAGTTCCCACCTGGATCACTTAGCGCAGGACTAAGAGGGGCAGAATTAGAACGGTAGAGCTGATGCATGCTAGGCGGGGCTGCGACACAGAAACGGTATTCCTTGTCTGACATACGGATTCCTTGTGCCTCATGGCCCTCTGTGAACACAGATCTCCAGCACATGACCACCCCGACCCCAGGACACTGGCGGACATGACGCGTTCGAGCTGTCTTTGAGCAACTATGACAGGGGCGGGGAGAGAGCCTGCTGGCTCTGGAGCTCTTACCTCTGTGCCTGTTGGTCGTCTTATCAAACATCAGCATCGCGTCCTCTACCTGCAAAACAAACACAGAACAGGGGCTGCTTCAGTCATCCGAAAAACCTGTGCACAACACTGTCTGCAGGTGTGGGTGTGCTGGGGGGGGGGGTTGTCTCTGTGATGGAAGCAAAATGGCTTAATTGGAAAATACAAAAAGGTCCAGACATCACCTTTATTTCTGCCTAGCGTAACCACAGCCATCAAGCTGATGCTGACTCGGAGGGCCCTGCAGGGGGTTTCTGAGGCTGTAACTCTTTAGGGGTCCGGGCAGCCCCATGCTCTGAAGGGACAGCCGGAGAGGGGGTTTGACCTGCCACCCCACTGGTGAGCAGCCCATTGCTTCCTCTAGAGTGCCACCAGGGCCCTTTTAGATGTCAGGAAGCTCACACTGGAGGAGCGGGGCTGGGCCCCCACTCTCCCCCCTCATCTCTCTCTAGGACCCCATCCTTCATCTGGGGGGACAGCTTCATTGTGGATGCTTGTCCTCACCAACCAACTAACCTCTTGGGGAGAGTACCAGGAACGGCCAGGTGAGCAGCCTGGTCTTGTGCCCAAGGTTAGCCATTCAAATACAAGCCACTCCACATCGTTAGGGAAGCACAAAGCCACCCCCAAGGGGCTCTGGGCTCCGAGAGATTGGCGTGGGGCCGTGTGGCTGGGGAGGACCCGACACCGTTCATGTGAGCGCAAAGGCTCACAGGGGAGCCCGAGGGCCTGCTCTACGCCAGCGAGAGGAGGGATCGGAAGCTGTTCGTGCCTCACTCCTCCCAGACTCCTGCCTCAGACGGAGAGGGCGGAGGGCGAGGAGCCGCACAAACATTCGCTTCCAAATGGGACCTCCAGACAAATCGAATCTGTTTTTCTCGATGCCTTCAAATCTAGCAGGGAGAGAGGCAAAGTCGAGGTGAAAACAGAAGGTGGGTGAGGTGGGGGCTGGGGGCGGGCAAGCCAGATGTAAACCTCGAAGGGACTGGCAGGGCTTAAAAATCCCTTCTTGAGTCAAGCCCCCCCACCCTTGTTGCTAAGCAACCGAGACTGAACAAGCAGGCTCCTGGGGCTGGCCCCTTCTGGCCCCCACTTCGGAAGTCAGTCCTGGGGGAGAAAATGACCTTGCATGGTGTCTGCTCCACCGGCGGGCAGCTGCCCCAGCTTCCCCGGCACCAGGGTACCAGGAGATGATCTGGCCCAGGGCTTCTTCAGCAGACCCCTCCCTGGGTGCCTGTTCTGGACAAACAGCAGCTTGCCGGGCATGAAGAGCCCCCACCCCAAGCCCCTGCTGGGGCCACACGCACAACAGCCGCTTGCTGGAGAAACTGCCAGAAGATCAACGGGTCTGTTTGCACACAGAGTAGTCACACTTGAGCATATGGAATCCCAGGCACAGACCCTGGGATTCAGTAAGAGTGGGCGTGCCTGGGGGCGTGTGGGTAGCGGGGTGAAGCTGCTGGGTGTCGTACAGGTAAACGCGGCATCTGTTTCAGGCCCCTCGCCAGATTTTCTTAGATGTTTGCCAAGTGCTTAGTTTGAGCCGAAAATGCCCATCAGCGAGGGAAATAACCCCCCCCCACACACACACACACACACCCGTGTTGGCCATGTTTGGGCACGGCAAAGCAGCTCCCCTTAGGACACACACATTCTGGGTGGAAGAGGCCTGTTTTCAAAAGCCTACCCCACCCCACCCCGACCCCCACCCCGTTTGGCAGTGCGCCTGCCCCTTGCTCCCCCTTCCGGGCGCGGCCCTCATCCCGGCCCTCGTCCCACCGTGGTGAGCGTCGGCCGGGGAAGACGTGTGGATGTTTTTAGGGCACCCGCTGTTGTGGTGGCTACAACCCTTTCCAGTGCAGTCTCGCTGGACAATGGGACTCGCGCTCAACAGACAGAGGGCCAGGCGGAGGGAGCATCCCTTGAACACGTGACAAAATAAAACCTCTAAGAAGTGACTAGGGAGGAAAGGGGGGATCAATATGGACATGTCCCAGCACTTGGGGTGGGGGTGGGGTTGAGGGTGGGGATGGGACTTTTCAGCAGTTGCAAAAGACGCATTCATTCAGAGCCACCGTCAGCGCCATGGGCATCTGGCAGGACAGCAAGCGCTGAAACCAGAAGAATCTGAGTAAACGAAGAGGGAGTCGGACGGAAAACGGCCTCACGGACGGACGGCTTGTTTCTCACGGTTCTACGTGAACCCGACACAAGAGGCCTGTGTGAACCTCTCGGGTGCGGGGAGAGAAGAGGCGCAGTCAAGGTAACTGGCATTCCACCCCGGCAAACTGATACCTCTCTCTCTCTCTCTCATGTACACACACACACACACACACACACACACACACACACAGCCCAGCTCACTGGCTGGGCAGTCATGAAATGCATGTGAGCTAGGCCAAGGTCAAGGAGGCTTGGTGACACACACATTAGAACCCTTGGCTACTACCCAAAAGGTGGGTGGTTCACACCCACTCCCTGTGGGGGTCTCCTGGAGAAAGACTGGCATTGAGTTTCCATCATGGCTTATAGTCCTGGGGGCAGGTCTGCTCTGCCGCACGGGGTCACTGTGAGTTAGAATCTGTGCAGAGACTCCCCCCGCCCCACCCCAGCTGTACCAAGGCATCACCCAGGGTCTGGGAAGAACCCACAGAGTGACCGGAGCTGGACACAGGTTTTTGCAGGCCTCAGGTTGTCAATGGCTGCCACGCTGATTTCCGACCCTTGTTTGCAGATTCGAAGAACATGCTGTGGGGTTTTCAAGGCTGTACTCTTTCAGAAACAGACCACCAAGATGCCTCTGGGTGGGTCTGAACTGCCAACCTTTTGGTTAGAAGTCAGGGCCTCACCCTTGTGCCACCCAGGGACTCCAGGAAGCACCATGAGCCCTTAGGAAACGTATTCTCCAGGTCTCCGATGGATGCACATATGAGACCGACTATTCAGAAGTCTGGATAATTACTTAGGTCTCAAACAATATGAGGTAGATAGGCCACATTCACTACCTCACATCTCCCCATTCGCTTGACGTCACCACCTTCGCTCCCAAGAGACAGCGTCTATTTCCCAACCACTGGAATCTGGACTTGGCTGGCTATGGCCACTGGAGTGGAGAGAGGAGGGTGCCCATGCGGGCCTGGCCAGGAGAGGAACACAGGTTTGTGAGTTTCTCGTGTCCCCTCTTGCACCTTGGCCACCACCGGGAGAAAGACGTGCCCAGGCTAGAGAAACACAGGGCAGAGGCACGTTGGCCACTAGTCAACTCCGAACACGTGAGCCCAGAACCACTCGAGGTGGCACAAACACTGATGATATGCTCCCGAGGTACCATTGCCCTTTGTTACACAGCGCTCTTCTGGGGAGAGGTAACTGGTACACAGTCCTGTTCCTGGCTCACCATCTCTTAGATCATGTACATTCTCAAATAATACTGGGCATGAACCAAAGCAAGAGGTGGGGTGGAAGCCGGGAGAGTGCTGAGGGGCCCCTGCACTCTCAGTTTCACATGCTAAATGGAACATGGTCTCAGGGTGTGGAGGGGGTGCTCCTGCAAGGCTACAAGGCAGAGGTGCTGGAAGCGCCAAGAGAAGTTGGCAACACGGTCGGTCCTCACTCAATGAGCACCGGGAAGATCAGCAATAATTAGCACTCAAGTCAGTGGGTGATGCCTCTCTAATCCTAATTCATTTAATGAATGAGCGAACTCTCTCTAGAGTGCGTCAAAAGATTTATTGGGAGCCAGGCATTCTTGCCTGGGTGATTTCAGAAGTCGTCAGATGGGGTTGCCTGCAACCAGAGCTGAGACAGAAGCCAGCACAGGCCACATGCTGGCCGAACAGAAGACAATAACATCTCGATGGACGGACATGGGGATCAAGTGAGGCCAAAAATTCTGCCCGGCCAGTTGCTTGGCCAAAGGGTGGAATTCCAGAATGCACCCGTAGACCGCTGCACAACACCGTGCTCGTGGTAAACCACTGAAACGGAACAGGCGCTGCCGGTGGTGACTTGGCCAGAGCTGGGAGGCAGAGCTTCACCCTGGAGGAGGAAGAGCTGAGTTCCCCTCCCAGGTCCGTCCAACTTCAGCATCTCACCGAGGACAAGCGACCTTCTTTCTCTGTCCCTCATTTCCCATTTGCCGCTGTCCGAGATGCCAGCGAGGCTCCATCGGAGACGCCTCCGTCCGTCAGCCTTGCACGCCAAGATGGGCCGCAGAAGCTGCTGGGGCAGCATCTGGAAGCACCATCCCACCGGCTCCTGGTCCTTCACAAGCTGTCCCGAGGAAGTTCCCGAGCCTTGCTGTGGCCACAACGTGCCCCTGGAAATTTCCTACCCGCTGGAGGGATACCAAGCATACGGGGAACAGAGAAGCCAAGTGCATTTCCCAAGAGCCTAAAGGATCTGTCAGATACAGAGGGAGGGGGAGGGGAAATCGAGGAGCCCCGCTCTTCACACTCCTCCGGAACAAACGCCCTTGCCTTTCTCTCTTCTTGCTCCCACACAATCGCTTGCCGTGTTGGTGTAAATAAACACCCAAGCAATGCCATGGCACTACAGCATGCAGAGCCTGACAGGCCTCGTGATGCTCAATACATTCCCGGAGCACTAGAGGCGGAGTGGGGATTCCCACGCCGTCATGACACGCACCGCTCTGCAGTGTCTCCCAGCCAACAGCACATAAACCAGGCCTGCACCCACTGTCACCCTTGGTATGGGGTCCCTGGTGGCACACACGATTAAGTGCTGGACCACTCACTAAGGGACTGGCTGTCCAAACCCTGCCAAGAGGGGACTCTGCAGACAGGACGGAGATCTGTTTCTAAAAGGTCATTGCCTTGACATTCCTCTGGCACCCTCAGTCACCGATTGCAACTGCCGTGATGTCCTAAGGTTTACTGAGAAGGCTTTTCAGCGTGATCGAGAGCGGCCTTGCACAAAGTGAGGTTGGTCTCTCTTGAGACACTGCCCACACGGAAGGACGGAGGAGCAGCCGCAGGCTGGACAAGCCCCTGGGCTCACACTAGATTCCAG